CGCAATTAGGCAACAACAAGAACGTCACTGACATCGGTTGGCGGTCATAACTTGCAGCGTGTCCAACCAGTCGCAGTGCGGATCACGCGGTCCCCATCCTGGAAGGCGAGTAGCACCGACAGCACCCAAACGGATCGTGTTCTCCTTCATATCCTTCTGCCAGGTCAAGGTTTGGCTACCACGCAAGTCCAATCAGCTGGTCGGAATTGACCATAAAACTTGTGTTTTATTTTATGGGTGAGTTAGGTGGCGCCTAACCACTGAGCTTGGTGGAATGATAAACCATAACTCAAACATAATACTCAGGTAGAGGTGTTGGACAAAGGTGACTGCCTCTCTCTCAGCTGTCATCTGATCAATTTACATTCAGTTGTTTAAGCTGTCTACCAAAGTCCTATTTCTGAGCACCTGAAACATTTGTCAAATTTGGTGCCCCCAGTACGCACTAACGCAGGGACCGTAATCTCTTCACTTCGCATCTCAGATGACTTCACTTTTCAACCGCAATCGAATAGCAATAAGTCATAGTAAGGATGAAATTCGAGTTGAGTGTTGCTCACCTGATGGGAACCAATCGGAGTGACCAAGCCAAGCGGGATAAACCATTCTGTGTGCCTTGTTCAGTGATATTACTGCATTTCTGTCAAATTCTGTTCCCTATTCTTTCTAGCGCAAAAGAAAAACGATTGAAGAAAGATGCTGGCCGGCACATGTGGGCCATGTCAAGCTCTGTACTGTTAGACGTCGACACACCGGGTACCATGTCCACCGATTTTTCCAAGGACATTCACGACCATGGAAGACAAACGCGGAAAACTCTGGATCGCTACAGTTTTGGTGATGATTCCACAAGCGGTGAAGGATACGAGTCACATGACGCAAAACAATTCAGTTTGAGTAAGTGGTCCGGAAGTTGTTACTGGTTACCTATTGATGTCGTTCGATGAAAAATGGTCGTTCCAAACATTTCAATGTAGAGTCAGTTTCCGCAAAGCCAATCGGGGTGCTAAAGAACATGGGTTAAGACATTAACCAACTTTCTTTATCTTGCTGACTCGCGGTTACTTACTTACTTGTGAATATCACACTAGGTAGTCCTTTAAACTTACCAGAAGAATATGCGCAACTCAGATCATCCATTAAATCTATTTGCAGGTGACAATGAAAGTTTGTACTCAGACGATCAGGAAGTAAACGAACCGATAGATAATCCTCGAGGAGCCTCGGTCCCATTGCCTGAGCCGTGTGCTGACAACAAGGTACCCATCTATCACCCTCCAATCGGTTGCGTCACTGATGAACTCACTAGATATGGCATTGATTTGACCAATTTTGAGAATGAACACCAGACAAATACTGCCCACGTGTCACCACTCCGAATGTGCTCCAAACTCCGAGGCTCACAAAAGCGCCCTGCAGAACAATGGACCGTTGGTGATATCTACTGTGGGGCGCAGATAACCGAAAATTCATTTGTTCACCCGGTTACAGCATCAGACTGGACAGCAATGCACACGGTGGACAGTGTGATGAATGGTGCCCGTTGTAATTTCAACCCGCTAATCAGACACAACCTAATGACATCAACACTGTCACTGATCAAACAGCACGCTTTCAAAGACGACCCCGTACAGAGTGAACAAAAGCGAACGGTCGAATGAAGAGAGCAACTGACTGGTCGGAATCAAACCTTGTGGGTGTGTGGTGTCATGGACCTCTGACAGTTTCGAATGTGTGCTTAGCGTATACTCGATACGAATGTGATATTAACTTTACTTGATGGTTAAATGCTTCTTCTCAAGTCTTGTTGACTACATTGTCCTAATGAAGGATGTCATTAGCTGAGTTACAATATAAATCTGTTCCTCCACTCACTTCTTTCCAGTTGCATTCATAATTCACCTGCCCAAAAGGTACATTTCAATAGAACAGCGCAGCTTACGGGAACTGATACGTATGTGTGTGACAATGGCGGAGTCTGTTTCATCGGGCCTAATCAATTGAGACATACTATATATGGAAGCTACCATATTCGGCTTCGTACGCACCTATTAAGACTGTTGAATATGGGTACTGTTACGGTGTAGGACTGTTGGAGGGATTCCGTTCCATTGCGTGCCAACTTCTGCTCAGCACCAATCCCCTATGCACACATCTGCTCCAAGTAACCAAATCTCACCGTGCCGTCTCAGTATGCTCAAAATGGAACGGACGAGAGAGCAGCACATCCACAGTCACAATCGCACACGCTGGAAGCATCTGAATTACCACGCGCATTAAGCAATATGACATTTTGTGCAACGCATCGACTACTGACTAAGTAGGAGCTGTTCTGCTTGTGTCGATCGATTCGGCTGGATGTCAGGGTTTTCGGTCAAGTACCACGACCTCCAGACAGACGAGATTGCACTTCATGTCTTGGCAACTAAGCAAACTATAGTTTCGCTTGAGCATCTTGCCGAAATCTTGTTGAAGCGAGAAACACGTGTCCTCCAACTGCAGCAACATATATCACATCACAAAGGATGACTTTCGCGTGGAAAAAAACAGTAAAAATCACTCAGCTGTAACACCCTTCTGGTGCCTAGCTGCCATACTACCCGAAGGAAGGACGAGGGCTGGGATACTGTCAGGTTGCCCAAGCCTAGACAGGGGAAGTCGAGAGGCAGAGGTCGGGTTCGAACCACGGACCTTCCGGTCAGTAAATTTGCGTTCTAACCACTTGAGCCATATCGCGCAAGTATAAATTGGTTAGTGATCGAAAACCAAACCCGAACATAGGATGATAAACGTACAGCTAACCTACGAAACATTCATGTGCGCGTATAGTCGCGTAGAAAAGCAATAAATATTCAAATGAAAGATATACGGTACAGTCGGTGGCAACCAGATGAGCCTGTATGTGGTTGCGCACAACTGAAACAAGGTCGGACATGAGTACCTACGAAAGCGTAGAAAAATTTCACCCAGAAATGAACGCACGTTTGCTCACGACGTTTTGAATGCGTGTAAATAAGTCTGACGTGGAATCGCTCTGCGCATACTCGAATTTCGCTACACTACTTGCCTGGGCTGATTGATTATGTCACAGGGCGAGGAGACGCTTCGGATTCTAGCATACACTGGAGAAAATGAGACAGAATATACCGCACAGAAATCTTCGCTTACCCATTTTAATGAATACAAATGAATATATGGCAAAGAAGTGATGTGGCTTTTACCCTAATAAATGAGGCACAAGGCTGCAATTTAACCTATCCATTCAGTCGGTTACGTAATTATCGATTTGTCAGATAGTCTGCCATTTTCTTCAACTACGGTTCCTACCATGGGGGAGGGGTTGGCCGGTCAGTTATTTTTCTGGTGTGATCAAATTAAGATTTCCCGAAGCAGCCGGAACTTCAGCAGATCTCTTGCAAAAATCCCTAGTGTATGAACAATAGTAAGAATCCGGTGTAGACATCACCCATCCTTTAATCCTCTGACACATGTTTTCGTGCGATCTGAGTGGATTATCATTCTGAAAGAAAAGAGACACCAAGATGTTCTCTCTACTGGGAAGGAAGCACGGATTACACCACATCATTTTTGTCCATGATACTCCCAAAGGAAGCTTAAAACAAGCTTGTTCAATGAGTAACTACAGGACACTGGTGATTGTAACCTACCGCACATAAAATCCGATTATACCGCGATACACGTGCGCGGTAACAAGTTTAGTTCAGTTGATATTGGGCTATGAAGTAGCAACAGCGCGCAAAGAAGCATGTTCGCGTGGAGTTGTGTTCCGCGTTCCAGAAGACTTTGACGATATCTAGGAGCACCAACTCTCCGGAGTTTTCAGCAAGTTTATGAGTAGTGTGTTATGTCTAGACAAGAACGTGTCCCAAACGTATCTAGAATATCGTACCAACTGAAACATGAAGTGGCCTGGTGCAGCATATTCAGCTGAAGCCGATCATCATAAACGAGAGTCTGCTGTCAGAACCGAATTCGTGTGTAAATGAGAGTGATTGTAGAAATTATCTATACTGCACGAGCTCAAAAAGACAATGAGGGGAGTGTCAGTTGAAGTTCCACTCTCCACAGAATGCCTACTTGGCGCTATTTCCATAACACAGTTTATGGACTCTTGAACCATATAGTGCTCGATTTTGACGTCCAAAAGGCCTAAGAATCAGAGCACAATGTCAGTCCTTAGTGCTAGGACGCATTCGAAAACGGCTGTTACCTTAGAGACCATAGAAAAAAAAGCGAAGTGCACATCTGAGTAGGGACAGAAGGATGATTGTAGGGACTTACTGAATCTCAATAAACAACAATCGTTTAGCTGTAGCACCCTTTCGGTGCCTTAGTGCCATGCCACCCGAAGGTTGCACGAGGGCTGGGATACTGCCAGGTTGCCCAAGCATAGACAGGGGAGTCAAGAGGCGGAGGTCGGGTTCGAACCACGGACCTTCCGGTCAGTAAATTCGCGCTCTAACCACTTGAGCCATCTCGCTGAATCTCAGCCAAAGTCTGGTCGCCAGACAGCGAACATGTTTTCCCGCTCACATACGATAATTCAGTCGCACTTAGCTACACTGGTGAAGTAAACATACAATGATCTTCTGCACATTGGATGCCCAGAGTTCGAATCCCAGAACGACTGAGGAAGCCTATTGGGATAGAAAAGCAAGTCCAGTGCTTCTCGCTTTGGCGTAGATTTGCCAAAATGAGCATGCCAGGACAGACGAAGGACTGTTTCATCGATAGTGAAGTAGAGATACTTTGTTAATACTTGTATTTGGGGACAAGACGTCATAATTCAGAGTACACCGAACCGAATAACCTATCTGTTGACCTTACACGTGAGGTTATGCAGATATCACAGAAAATCCCTTGTGTCTACAGTGCATCTGAAGTGGGTAAGACCTTTCTCACTGTCTGGCCTCAAGCGTAACCCCTCACTACCCGATCGAGTTACAAAGAAAGAAACACTGTTGAAAACCTAATATATTGATAAAACGTACTCAGTGACTAAACAGATTTGAGTTAGGGGCATCTGAATTGTCGGAAGATGCTATCGTCTGACAAATGTCACATGTGTTGAAAAGACAAAATAGACAGGATGACACTTGTCCTAATAAACTGGATGTTTTATTTTTGAAAAAAAGGAAACGAAAAGCGGTCTGTCAGGTGGGGCGGCACACAACGTAAGTCCGGTTATGAAAACAAGGAAATCATATAGAAAAGAAGGCAAACCAAAAAAATGTCAAAGTCAAAGAAAGAATGCACAGTACAGCCCGACGAGCGGCAGAATTCAATCGCCTAAAACCCATACTCCTTAGTGTTGACTTTGTGAGGAGCTAGAACCTCGAGGAAAGAGCATCACAGCGCAAGAAGTAGTCATTCCCACGGTTGACGGGTGTGTAGGAAGGAACTGAGATTGGACGAGCAAGTGTAAATGCGCTCTGTTCTGACGAGTCGATCACTGAAACTTGCTCAAGCGGATGCCTAAGAGAAAAAGAAACAGAGATACAAAAACTGTAAGCGAACATGAAATAGTCATCAGTGTGCCTGTCGCAAAGTGACTCTACCCCTGAGTCGGGTATACAAAGCGTCTCGCTGGGTTCATTGACCAATATGTTCCCATGGTGAAATAGGTGTGAGTCCAGACCATTATTTCTGTATAGCGTGGCGGGCCGGACGGAAATAGAGCTAAACTACGGAGCGAGTCTACTTAGAAACGATCAACCCTCCGTAAAAACCGCATTCGGTTGCTCCAGTGGGAATTCTGTTACGACAGTTGGAGAGTGTTTCCGGCTCCTTGTTCGTAGCAGCAGCAGCTAGACCAAATCCTTAAAATATCGCTCGCTACACAATAACTTTTCAAAATCAAGAAATTTGTATAAAAACAAATAAAAATCGTTCAGCTGTAACACCTTCCGGTGCCACCCGGAGGAAGCACGAGGGCTGAGATACTGCCAGGTTGCCCAAGCCTAGACAGAGAAAGTCGACAGGTAGAGGTCGGGTTCGAACCACAATTTATACCTATGCATAACCATTAGCTTCTCACTTCGCTCTGTGTAACATTTTGTTGAGGTGACTTTCAACTGAAGGATAAGGGCGGGGTGACAAAGCCCTCTAGAGTGACTGGTCCCTTCGGCCACCGCTGAAGCGCGGTTGTCAATAGGATAAAACTGCCTTCCAAAATTGTGTACATGCCATGTGCTGACACGATGCTACCCACCGAAGACTTGGAAACAAACTGCGAAGCTGGGAGAACAAACCAATAGCCACCTGATCTACAAGCAATGTTCACAATCGCATCACTTCGTAAGACGGCGGCGTACTAGTTACGTTTTGAAAGTCCGTGAGAACTGAGGCGGAACTTTACCAGAGCTGGACCAACAAATTTAAGTGACAGGGATCTTCGTCAACAAAAGGTTCATTCTGGCGGCCTGAAATTTACTACACCGATGGACGTTTTCACAACACAGTTGAGGAATGCAGATGTGTTTTTAACGGAAGTAGAGAATACAGTGCATAAACATGGGGTTCGGCAGATCAAGATATCCTCTCGGAGCCAATTGGGCCATCTCGCCATCGGGAGCGAGATATGTATTGACGGAAGGTGCGTGGTTCGAAACCGAACTCTGCCCCTCGACTTCCCCTGTCTAGACTTGAGCAACGTGACAGTATCCAAACTGTCGTGCTTCCTTCGGGTGGCATGGCAGCCAGGCACCGACAAGGTAATACGGCTGAACGATTATGTACTGCACTAAAGATTTCCACTCCAGCTACGAACGGATGTGCTGTTCTGTGAAATACCCGCGGTGAAACACACGGATCAGCATTAGAGGTTTCAGCGCCCATAACGCGCCACAGGATCTAGCAAATG